ACCGGCCTCTTGTGAATCCATGCTGAGTATCATTAATCAAGCTATGTTATCGAGATGGCTTCTTATAATTTGAGCTATAATTGACTCTAGTAATTTGCCTACAATTGAGGTCAGGCTTATTGGGCGGTAATTTGACGGTAACGACTTGTCCCCTGTTTTAAAAATAGGAATTACATTAGCCATCTCCACATATCAGACACTACACCTGTTTGAAGAGATAAATTAAAAATATTAGTTAATGGTTCACAGACTTCCATTTTGCATTCCTTTAGAACCTTGAAAAAACCTCATCAGGACCGGTGACTTATTTTGCTTCAGTCGGTCTATCTGCTTCACAACCTATTTCACTAGTGACTATGATGTTACATAATTTATCTTCTTCTGGCCCACTATAAAAATTAATTACCGGAACACTATAGTGTTTCCTGTGTAAAAACCGGAGAAAAATAATTATTTAAAATCGAGCACATTTCATTCTCTTTGTCAGTAAGATGCCAATAGTTATTTTTAAGGGGACCTATCTTATCTCTGACTTTTGTTCTATATACCTGGAAAAAACGTTTTGGGTTAGTTTTAGAATTCTAGCAACTTTAATTTCATAGTCCCTTTTAGCTTTTCTTATCCCCTTTTTAATGTCCCTCTTAGTGTCAATTACTGATTATAAGATGACCCTCGCCTCTTTTGATACGCCATATAATTCCTTTCTTATGCCCTAGTAGATATTTCAGCCTATTATTCATCCATTTTGGGTCATTTCTATTTGATCTAATTTCTTTTATAGGGATAAATGTTCTTTGAGCAGCATGTATTGTGTTCAGAAAACTGTCATATTGATAGCTCTCTTCGTTACCCAGTCAACAGATGATAAGTGTTCTCTAAGCCCATCGTATTCTGCTAAGCGAAAATCTGGGATGTTACTGAGTTATCCCTACTATCATACTTCCATTCAATTCTAAATGTAATTGATTTGTGGTCGCTAGCACCCCGTTCTTCTGAAACTTCTAAATTATTAACAGGGATTCATTGTTTGCCAGAAACTAAGTCAAGCAGGTTATTACCCCTTGTAGGTTCTGTCACAAAACTGCTTCAGAAAACAATCCTGAACTACTTCTAAGAAGCGTTTTAATGATTCTAAATTCCCAGTCAAGAATTCCAATCAATATGACTAAAGTTAAAGTCTCCTAGAATTACTACATTATCGTCCCTTGTGGCCCTAACAATTTCCTCCCATAGTAGTCTTCCCTGGTCCCTATCTAAATTTGGGGGACGGTATATCACACCTAAAGTTAATTTTTCATGCCCCTCTGAAAATTCTATCCAAACAGACCTGTATGTGTTACTTCAGACTTAATACCCGTTTTAATGCAACAGTTCAAGCGATCTCGGACATACAATGCCACCCCACCCCCTTCCCGATACTTCTATCTACTTGGAACAATTTGAAACCCTGAATGTGACATTCTGCAGGCATTGTCCCGACTTTTTGAATTAACACGTCTCAGTAATGGCAAATACATCTATGTTACCTGCACTAGCAACTAGTCTCAACTCGTCCATCTTATTCCTAGCACTGCGACTATTTGTGTAATATATACTTAAGGACCCTCCTTTCTCTTTATCATTCCTGCTCCTTTCTGTTATTCCACTAAACCTATTACTGTCCTTGTCAATTAGTGCCATTGGCCTTCCGATATCCACCTCATTTTGCCTATTACTAGTTCTCTAGTACTCATATTACTACCCTGAGACTTCACAGTTTTCCCGCAGAAACCCATACCACTACTATTCTAGTTTAAAGACCTTACGGCTCCCTCCACTGCGTTGGCCAGTGCTCCCACCCCACACCTAGACAAGTGAACCCCATCCTGGCATACATGTCATTTCTGCCATAGAAGAGGTCCCAGTTGTCAATGAATGTTACCGCATTTTCCTTACAGTATTTGTCCAGCCAGCAATTGACACCAATTGCTCTGGACAACCATTCATTTCCAACTCCTCTCCTTGGCAAAATGCCACATATGACAGGTTTCCCACCCTTCTTCCTAATTATCTTATTGCTGACCTATACCTGCTAATCAGGTCCTCACTCTACGTCTGCCAACATCGTTGCCTCCAGCACTGAGACAGATAATAGGATTGCTCCCATTACCTCTCATGATGTCATCCAGACGGCTAACAATATCCTTCATCCCAGCCCCAGGAAAACACTCTCTGCCTCCTACTCCTATCCTTCAAACAGAATGCCCTATCCATGTACCTAATCTGACTATCCCCAACAACAACAATGTTTTTACCTTCCTTGGCGTCGTCCGTAGTGATGCTCCGAGTAGTCGACTCAAATTCGCCAGGTAGCATTACACCACTTGTAGAATTCGTCATGACGTTCTCGATGGTCTTCGTTGGGGTTTCTAGGGATGTCTCACTCACGTCTGCCAATGCTTCCTTGGTGCTCGTTGTGGCATTCCCAGTAGAACACTCACATTCGTCAGGTAGCACCGAGAATGAGTTGGAAGTTTCCACGGCAGTCTTTGGTTTCTCGTTGTTTCTGCCTCTCCAACGTTTTCTTAATCTTCAGCTTTGTTCCATGTTGCCCGACCACTGACCAAGCTCCCCTCTTAACCTGGGGACTCACAACAGGAGGATTACTACGAATCCTCTTGTTCTCTCCGTTAATCGCCGTATCTCCAGTTTAGCAACTCTGAGTTCTTCTCTCAGCTGCTGGTAAAGCTGCTCAAGAGAGGGCATCCTGGTTCAGATTCACAGAGAGCACACAAACAGGTCTTCACAGAGCTAAGTACACGTCACCACTGAGCTAAGTACACGTCACAGAGCCATGAAATGAACCAGTGGCACTCAGTGAAGCGAGGAAAGGAGTGAACCACGAGCACTCAGTGAGGCAAGTCCTACAGTAAACAAGGGGCACTCAGTGAGGCTAGCCAAGAAGTGTACCAAGGTCATCACCTAAAAGGAAGCCAAGGAGAGATCCAAGGGCACTCAGTGAGGCGAGCCAAGGGGTGAACCAAGGGCACTTAGTGAGGCGAACGAAGGGGTGAACCAAGGGCACTTAGCAAGGGCGAGCCAAAGAATGAACCTACAGTGCTCAGTGAAGCTTGCCAAGGAGTGAACCATGGGTACTCAGTGAGCGAGTCAAGGTGTGAACCAGGGGCACTCAGGGACGGGAGCCAAAAAGTGAACCAGGGACACTCAGTAAGGCGACCCAAGGAGTTAACCGGTGGCTGTCAGAGAGGTGAGCCAAGGAGTGAACCAGGGGTACTCAGTGAGGCGAGCCATGGAGTGAACAAGGAGCATTCAGCGATGCGTGGCAAGAATTGAACAAGGGAAATTCAGTGAGGTGAGCCAAGGTGTGAACCAGGGGCACTTAGCGATACGAATCAAGGAGTGAACCAGAGGTACTCAGTGAGGCGAGCCAAGGATTGAACCATGTGCACTCAGGGATGCGAGCCAAGGAGTGAACCAGGGCACTCAGTGTGGCTCGCCATGGAGTAGACCATGGGCACTCAGTGAGACGAGCCAAGGAGTTAACCAAAGACACTCAGTGAGGCGAGCCAAGGAATGAGCCAGGTGCACTCAGTGAGACGAGCCAAGGTGTGAACCAAGGACACTCAGTGATGCGAGCCAAGGAGTGAACCAGGGGCACCCAATGAGGCGAGCCAAAGAGTGAACCAAGGGCACTCAGTGAGGCGAGCCAAGTAGTGAACCAGGGGCACTGAGTGAAGCGAGCCAAGGTGTGAACCAAGGGCACTCAGTAAGGCGAGCCAAAGAGTGAACCAAGGACACTGAGTGAGGCGAGCCAAAAAGTGAACCAAGGGCACTCAGTGAAACGAGCCATGAAGTGAACCAGGGGCACTCAGTGAGACGAGCCAAGGTGTGACCCAAAGGCATTCAGTGAGTCAAGCCAAGGAGTGAGCCAGGGGCACTCAGTGAAGCGAGACGAGTGAACCAGAGACACTCAGTATAGAGAGACAAGGAGTGAACCAGGGACACTCACTGAAGCGAGACAAGGAGTGAACCAGGGACACTCACTGAAGCAAGACAAGGAGTGAACCAGGGACACTCAGTGAAACGAGACAAGGAGTGAACCAGGGACACTTACTGACGCGAGACAAGGAGTGAACGACGGACACTCAGTGAGGCGAGACAAGGACTGAATTGAACCAGGGAAATTCAGTGAGGTGAGCCAAGGGGTGAACCAGGGGCACTTAGCGATACGAATCAAGGAATGAACCAGAGGTACTCAGTGAGGCGAGACAAGGACTGAACCACGGACACTCAGTGAGGCGTGAGTGTTTACTACAGAGAAACAAGACTTGTTGCTAATTCCTAGTCATTGAGAAGAGGAAATATCTATGAAATTCACAAAAAAAAATTATTAAGCCAGTTGAAAAAAAAGAGTCCAAAATCGAGGAAAAATATTTTTCTTAGTAGACTTTGCAAGTATTTGACGTTTATAGCAGATTAGAAGACTTTCTCAGAATATTGTACTAAAACCACTCTTCTATTTTTGAGTCATATATGACAAATTGGAACTTACACAGCCACCTCAAATTTATTTATTTACTCAGTACATAATATACGCCAGCGATGATGATTTGAAAACAGAAGTGGCATTCTCAAGTTACTACATAAAACTATTATGAAAGTTAAACTTCTGACTTATAATGAAGATAAATACTCACGGGAAATATTTTATTACGTTTTTCTAACAAAAAGACTTTTTCAAAGTTTAGAAAAATGAGCAAAATTTGTCTAGAAAAATATTAATGTTTTAAACTTTGAAGTGGTCCTCAGGAGTTAAATATTGTTTTTTTTATATATATCTCAGAAAACAATCCTTGACTGAAATAATCCAAATAATTAATATACTTTTACTCTTTATGTTTAACAAAATTAAAATATAAACATAAATATGTCTGGAAATATTAAATTACTGAGGCAGAGATAAAATATGCTGTCACTTAAATATCTACGACTTATTACAGATTTTAGGTACAAGATGCAGCCCGGAAACAGCATTGAGTGCTGACCTTCACCACATCCACTTGTACTTAACCTCGGGGCTGTCGACTGGTGCCAGAGATAAAGTCACCAAGAATCTGGTCGCTGTTATGCTGTCATGTAACTACGAACATTATGCTGAGGCTACACAGAACCCTGAAAATGAGGTGAATATTATGTAAACGTAGCTGTTCATTATCTTAATGTGTCAGTATTACATTGGTGCTAAGACAGTCAAATGGGTGACTGTCTGTGAGCCTTAAACAGGAATTATCTGATTATTTCAGAGTGTGCTCTGTGGACTTTTTCTCTCAGTTTGCACTCTAAAACTTTTTTAACGTCTCTATGCCTTTTTTTTAAATTTGTGGAATATTTTAATTGGCTGCTCATTATTAATGGATATAAATCTAAAATAAAGGAACCTTACTTAAACTATCCTATCCTAGGGATAACTTACCTATCCATACCTAACCTGTATGGCTTCATACATAAGTATGCTTATCTACCTACCTACCTTAAGGGTATTCCAGGGATCAAAGGCCCCACGGCCCTGTCCACCACTAAGTCTGCTATACCAGAAGATTTCTTCTCGTAATTGCATAACAGAATTGATGAACTGGCAGAAGCATAACCTACTAAGAAGGAGAAGATTATGATTTTTGCTGCCAGTTAGCAGTTGGAGAACAATAATATCAAAAGAATTTCAAATGAATTTCATTAACTTGAGACTCATCATTCTATCGTGCACAAGGAACCACTTGTTTGTTGTGTATTTAGGAAGATAAACAAACACTAGGATGTAATTACTGTTCAGTTGAGGCTGAGTTACATGTATCAACATCACCAGCTGAGGCTGAGTTGCAAGTATCAATAACACCAGCTGAGACTGAGTTACAAGTATCAACATCACCAGCTGAGGCTGAGTTACAAGTGACAACGTCACAAGCTCAGGATGAGTTGCAAGTATCAACAACACCAGCTGAGGCTGAGTTACAAGTATCAACATCACCAGCTGAGATTGAGTTACAAGTATCAACATAACCAGCTGAGGCTGAGTTACAAGTATCAACATCATCAGCTGAGGCTGACTTACAAATATCAACATCACCAGCTGAGGCTGAGTTACAAGTATCAACATCACCAGCTAAGGCTGATATACATGTATCAACATCACCAGTTCAGACTGAGTTACAAGTATCAACATCACCAGTTGAGGCTGAGTTAAAAGTATCAATATCACCAGCAGAGGCTGAGTTGCAAGTATCAATATCACCAGCTGAGGCTGTTACAAGTACCAACATCACCATTTGAAGCTGAAATAAAAGTATCAACTTCACCAGCTGAGGCAGAGTTACAAGTATCAACATCACCAGCTGAGACTGAGTTACAAGTAACAACATCACCAGCTGAAGTTGAGTTACAAGTATCACCATCACTTGCTGAGGCTGTGTTACAAGTATCAACATCACCAACTTAGGCTGAGTTACAAGTATCACCATCACGAACTGAGGCTAAGTTGCAAGTATCAACATCACCAGCTGAGGCTGAGCTGCAAGTATCAATATCACCAGCTGAGGCGGGAGCTGCAAGTATAAAACTTCCCCCAGCTGAGGTGAGTTAAATTTATCACTCACCAGTGGGGACTGAGTTAAAAGTAAACAAATCACCAGCTGAAGTTGTTTTAAACAAGTTCCCCATCATTGTTTGAGGCTGAGTTAAAAGTATCAAACATCACCAACTTAGGTGATTTACGTGTCCCCAAAATCCCCAAAACTGAGGGTTTGGTTCAAGAAACAACATCGCTAGTGGGCGGGATTTACAAGGTGTAAAAATCACCAGCGGAGGCTGAGTTAAAAATTTATAAACCCCTTCACCCCAGCTGACCCTGAGTTGAAGTAAAAATTCATTTGCTGAGGCTGGTTGCAAGTATTAAATCACCGTGAGGCGGGAGTTCAATTTTCAACATCACAGCTGGGGGCTGAGTTACAAGAATCAGAAACACCATGAGGCGGGAGTTACAAGTATCAACATCACCAGCGGGCTGAGTTTACAATTTATAAACATCGCCAGCTGAGGCAAAGTTACAAGTATAAACTTTCCCAGGAATTTTTTTAAAAAAGTATCTCGGATGGATTTTTTCCCAGCAGTACCCGTTTGAGTGAGTCACAAGTATCAACTTCACCACCGAGGCTGGTTACAAGTATTTCAAAAGTGTAGTACCTTTTTCCTTAACCGGTTACCAGAAAACCGTGTACCATTTAAGATGACTCACAAACCAAAACCGTCTCGGTGTGAATCACTGACTGTATTAATATTGCTGTTTGCCCCTTTGCAGGATTTCAAACCCCCCCCTCCCCATAGGCACTCCTTTGGGTTTAGTTTTAGGGCAGGCTAGGGAGCAGAGGGGGGGGGGGGACGGTGGGTTGGGGTTTTCCCACACTTTCCGTTTTTATTATTCGTACTTTTCCCCGCCCGTGAGGGATTCTTACCCTATCCCCGTTTTCGAAAACCCCCCCATGGGCAAATGGTTTGGCCCCGGGTGTGAGCGTGGATTTTTAAAGGGGGGATTTCAAAAAGTTAAAAAGACTGTGGGTCGCCGGCAGGTCAAAGGTAAAACCCTCTCAGCCCCTCCCCGCTAGCAGTTACCCCCAGCACCCCCCACCCTGTGTACTCCAGCCCGCAAGCCTGTTGCAGCCGTTTTTCAAACTTCCTGGCTTAGTTTGTGTGCTAAAATTTCTTCAATCTCCGAGGGGGTTTACCTGGATTTTGCAAATTAAACCGTCAGGGAAGCCAGCTGTGGAAAATGGAAAGTAGCGCCTATCAGCCTACCCTCCGCCCGTCCCGTTCCTTTCCCCCTGCCCCCCTTCATTTCTGTGTGCATCGTTACACTCCTTTTGTCGCCATTCTCGTGGGTTAAGCCCGGGCAGTCAACCCAAACTTCTAACCCGGGGGAGAGAGAGAAATAAGCCACGCAAGTTCCTCTGAAGGGATTGTTTTATTTATCGTTGTGCTTGGATGCTGGTAAGAGGGGGTCTTTTTCATCCCCCTTTGGGTTTTTGGGGTTTAGGGTTTAAACCAAACCTTTTGCATGGTGAGGAAAAGTGCGTGGCGGGGAGAGGGGCAAGGGCCAGCTTGTTCCGCTGCCCTCCCCCCCACCACCCTTTCCCCTATTCACCTCATTTCCCGTGGCCCGTTTTCACCCTTGTTTCCGGGGCCTGTAATGTTTTTGGGTAAAATAATTGGTCAAAAAGATTGTAGCTGGCGCCCCAAAGTTAAAGGCCGTTATGTGAGTTCACCGAGGAAAGCGCCCTTTTTTTCCAAAAGGGCGTGTGAGGGGTAGGTTTATCTCCCCCATTTGGGGGCAAGCTTCACCTCATTTACTCGTCACCATCACCGTTTTCCACTCCCGGGCTTTAGTGATTAAATTTTTTGTTTTTGAGACATTTTCTTGCATTTAAAGACATTTGCGTGTGTGAGAATTTACAGGAAATTTTTTGTGTTTCTTAAGCCTTTGTTTTTTAGTGCCCGGGCTCCCCGTGTTTCTTTGACTCATTTTAATTTTTTTTTCAATAAAATTTTTAGTGTTATCGCTCATCTCATATTTTTTTAGGGGTTTTTTTTTTTTGGGTTTTTTTTTTTTTTAAGTCTTTAGTTTAAATTTTATTTTGTAGTGTACCGTCAGCACTCCGTGGGGAAAAAATTTTATTTATTTTTTTTTCATTTTTTCCAAACATTGTATTCTTTCAGATTTGTTTTGTAGTTCATGCAGTACATTCACCCCCGTATTCCAAAAATTTTTCCCTTTATTTCTGTTTTCTTTTTTTCGTACACCAGCAAATGCTCATTCTTGTTTTTTTCGCCCGACTTGTGACCCTTATTATTGCCCGCAATTTTTGTCGTATCAGTCAAGCAAGATTTTGTTGTAAAAATCTACACAGGGACCTCGTCAAATCAACAGTACAAAACTCCAAGGTATAGGACGGTTTTCCCTCAGTGCCAGTCGTGGGAAAGAAGTGAATAGTTAAATAGTCAAGGTTAATGTTTTAGTAGCTGCTATATTCAGCTGACCAGTGTACAGTGAGAGAATCATAGCAGAAAAAGCCAAATATATCTATAAACTCAAGAAAAGTCAGGTTGTAGGTGGCATTTACTCCCCTCAGTGTTTTAAAATGGCTGAGTCAGCAGAACAGGTCAGGAGACAACAACACGACAAAAACCCCCGATAAATGGAATTGAGGGGGATTTGGAAGGATGAAACCATTGATTAAACCTTTCTGTGAGGGAAAAGTTCAATAGATAGGAGTAGAGATATAGTAAAGATAGTTTCATTACCGGCTACTAGTTAAGGTAGGGTAAGTCAAGCTCCCGCCTTCTTACCCCTCCCCGAAAGTGATAGTTTCATTGCCGGCTACTAGTTAAGGTAGGGTAAGTCACGCTCCCGTTTTTCCGCCTTTTCTCCCCCCCACCCCTAAAGTGATAGTTTGATTGCGGCTGCTTCTTAACGTAGGGTCAGTCTAGCTCCTGCTATCCCTTCCCCCTCCCTCCCCCCCCCCTCGAAAGGTGACGTATGGGGCTCTGGTCAAACAGTAAATCACTCGACCCACAGCTCCCAACACTACGTAAGTAATGCGTGCCTTGTTTCAGTGGATTTATTGGTTAAAAGTTTCACTTTTGCCCAAATAATTAACTTAGTTCTTTCGTCTGCTCGGGTTTGACGTTTGTAAAAATCCCCCAGTTTTTAAGTAATGTGAAACCCATGGAGGTGATTATTTAAGCAGGGGAAACCTGCCCTATCTTTTTTAGCTGGATGACAGTGGGGGTCACTTCAATAAACGAGAAAAAAGGGAAAGGACTAACGTCCTGGAGACGCCCCTTTTGTATTGAACTACCTGTGCCCCTGTATGAAATTTGAGGGTAACCCAATCATTGCAGCGGTAAAAAACCGCTTTCCTGTCATCGGGAAATTATACTACGGAAATAATTTTTGAAGATCTACCCAGGGGTGGTACCAACACCTGCGACCCCCCCCCCCCCATATCACAACGGCTACGTTTAAACAACAGTGTCCCAACACCAAACCCCCATTTTTTATATACATTTAAATTACTTTGAATTCAGTTATCATTTATTTTTCATTTTTCATTTTCTTTAATGTGGGATTAATTTT